ACTATCCTGGGTTACTTGCTTGTTGCATTATTTCTCTCACACATATTTGTTATGGGTGATTTGCCTGTGAAATTATTGCTTCCTCGGATTATTAATGAGCAACAATCAAGAGAATCAGATCCACAGACTTCCAGCAAATACAAAAGGAGAAGGGGTCTTCCATGAAGATGTCATTGTTTATTTGCCAAAAGTTTTAAACATAAACGTTGAACTTGAGGAAACTTCAATTAAAGAAGAGGAGCCTGAAAAGATCGAGAAATTAATCACAACGGACAAAAAAGAACTTGTAACATTCACAGAAGAGGAAATCCTCAACTTCAACGTTTGCTCAAAAGTGGATTTTGTGATTAAACCTTATGAAGAGATTGATGTATATATTGTTGAATTCAAAACGGGTGATGGGGAAAAGTCATACTACATGGAGAAGAGCAATGTTAAAATTTGGAGAAATATTGCAATATGGAACAAAGTCAAATTAAGCAAGTTAAGCAGGACCTCCAAAGCAATATTTAAAGTACACATTTTTCAATAAAATAATATTTTCCATCTCATCAATAACTTTTCCTTCTTTTTCAGTCATATATTCCCCATCACATCACTCCAAAAAAATGCACTCTCTCATTTTAATGTGCACCAAACGGGCTCTAAATAAGCGCTTCTTAGGAGGCAACCCAAACTTTCTTCCTTTTTATATATTTTGTTTTTGAGTTTTAGGATAGTTTAGTTTATTGTAAGTTTTTTTTTCTTGAGACTCATCATCCATACCCTATTTTCCCTTAGGTCTTCGATAAGTTAGTTGATTTATTAGATGTTAGAGTCAAGTAACACATGTTCCAGTTATTTGATCTTAATACTTTATTTGATTTTTCAGGAACATGACGTCGCAGAACATTTAAACCTATATTGATCAAGGAGCCAACATGAGCAATAGGAAAGCTAGCCATTGAATTACAAGTCATATCAGGGGAGTCTTTTCTTCACTTTCTTCCCCTCTCCTTTATATACGGATTTAGAATTGATGACATTGAGGATAATGTCTAGTTTAAATTTACGGATGAAAAACATGAGTTTTCATTTTTTGTGTGTTTTTGTGTGTTTTTATTGTTTTAGTAAAAAAATAAAAAATAAAAATAATAAAAATATTTTATTTTTATGTGCTTGTGTGAGTTAGTTGGCCTAACTGACAATGATGAATATATTGTTTCATGAATTGATTTATGAATAGTAAATAAGTTGCATGCTTAAATTAATTTTTACTTTTCCATGTGAAATTTGATATATATTGAGCACATGAATTAAGTAAGTATTGTGTAGGAATGAATTGATTTCATAATTGGATATTTTGAAATAGTGGACCATAGATGTTAAACTCAAAACCACTAAATTTTACATTATTGGACCAAATTTAGAATAATTTGGGAGGATTTCACTGTTGTAGGAAGATGTTGAGATAAATAGGAATTTCATATGTGAAATTAAAATCTTTTGTGGATTGTCTAAAGTTAATAAGATGCAGTTGGGTGAAAATCTTAAGTAAGAAGTCGTTTTACTTGAATTGATGTTAAATGAGGGAAATTTCACTAATCAAGGTATAAAAAAATATTTTATTAGAAAATTTCTCTTCATAGCTTTATGACGAGCAATTAAGCTTGCATGGGTCTGTAAAATCTGGTGCCCTATGGTCATTATTAGAAAATTTCTCTTCGTAGCTTTATGACGAGCAATTAAGCTTGCATGGGTCTGTAAAATCTGGTGCCCTATGGTCATCTGACTTGGGAGTTATCGGTAAAAAACTTGTTACATGTGTCATTTAGAAAGTTTAAGGAGGAGAATACTTCAAGTAAAAAAATTATTATCCTAAAAAAAAAAAAAAAAAAAAATTCAGAAAAAGTAGGTGCATGAAACAGAAGACGCACCAAATGCCTTGGTTAAATCCCAAACACTTGTTTAAGAAAATTTGACTTTTGATAAGATATTATTAGTCTAGTTAAATCCTAGAGATTAAAGCAATCAAACTTAACGGAGAATCCTTGTTTATTGAAATGTTGAACTGCAATTGGTGAAATTTTGCCAAACTAAAGAGGTAAGGATAGTAAAAATATCCAACATTAGTTCACACACTGTAAAAGAGTGAAAATAATAAATTTGAGGGTGTGTGAAATCCTCGTCACCTCCCAGACTCTCAAATTAAGCACATTTACTTAATTGTCAGCATAACTCAATGCATTTTTCACATAATTGTTGTGTAGATGTCAACTTATCAATGTACCACATTTAAAAATGATTAAAAACAACATACACAATATTTAACCTTTAAAATGTTTCCATAGATCTCAATTTTATCATTTAGTTTCTATGATGCCAAGTAGCTATTATGTGGAAGATCAATTAAAGTATGATCTATACAATATTTATTAGTTTGGAAGATGATAGGTGATGGAGCAATAAAATTTGAATCTAAATTAATGTTCGATAAACTATTTGTAGTAAATTAAAGTTTAATGACTCAATTGATATTTCGTTGAAAGTTCATTAACCGCGGATGAATTTACACATGAAAATGTGACACGCGGTAGAACTTTAAAGGCCAAAGAGAAAATAAAAACTTGACTTAGCCTTAACGTGACTTTTGAGTCGGTCCTAAAATTTCAAAAAAGCTATATATTAAATAAATGAATTGACCAAGCTATTTCAAAGTCTACGCTATGATTTTAAAATTCTAAATAGACTTGCACCTCACTCAGGCCTTGTGTTCACTGTTGGATTTGATTTTATTTCTCAACAAATTATAAATTGAAGGATATCATCAATCTCTCTCTGCTAAATTCAACATATTTTCTTCTCGCATTAGCCATAAAATATCCCAATTCCTTTTAAAGATGCCTTCTTCGGAATCCAATTTCGCCACCGCAAAGACCGTTTTGTCCACCCTCGGCTCCGTCGCGGCCACGGTCGTGGTGGTTCGTAGCGTCGTGCACGATTACCTTCCCCATGAATTCCAAGACTACATTTATTCGGGCTTGAGAAATTTGTTCAACAAATTCTCAAATGAACTAACTATGGTGATCGACGAGTTTGATGGGCTAGTCAACAACGAAATCTACGAGGCTGCCGAACTCTATCTCGGCCCAAAAATCACTCCCAACACTCGTCGTCTCAAAATCAGCAAGCCCGAAAAGGAAAAGCATTTCAACATCAACATGGAACGCAATGAGGAAGTAATAGACACATACAAAGGACAGAAATTCAGATGGATTTGGGTATGCAAACAGATTGAATCAAGAAACTTTTACAACCCTAGAGACATGAATTCGACACTAAGATCCGAGGTTAGATCCTTCGAACTCACTTTCCACAAGAAAAATCAAGATTTAGTCATCAATTCTTACTTACCATACATCATAAACCAATCACTTATAAACAAACATGAGAAAAAAACTGTGAAAATCTTCACAGTGGATTACGAAAACATGTACAACATAAATGATTTGTGGAAACCCGTAAGCCTAGATCATCCCGCGACGTTTGAAAAATTAGCAATGGACACTGAACAAAAGGAGATGATTATGAAGGATCTTGATAGGTTTGTGAAGAGAAGAGAGTATTACAGGAAGATTGGCAAGGCATGGAAAAGAGGGTATTTGCTGTATGGTCCTCCAGGGACTGGGAAATCTAGCTTGATTGCGGCGATGGCGAATTACTTGAATTTTGATATATATGATTTGGAGTTGACTGAGTTAAGAAGGAACTCAGAATTGAGAAAATTGCTGGTAGCTACTGCAAATAAGTCCATACTGGTGGTGGAAGATATTGATTGCACCATTGATTTGCAAGATAGGGAGGCTAACAAGGATAATTCGCGGCCTGTATATTATCCTGAGGAGGAAAACAAGGTTGGTTACTTATTATTTAGTTGATGAATTTCTACTTTCTCTAGTTTGTTTTCATTTAAATTTTGGATTCATATTTTGGGATCTGTTTTTTTTTTTTTTTTGGTTAAGTCTGCTTTGATTATAGCCCAGAAAACATTTGGCAAATCTGCACCAAATGTAGGCTTTTTAGATAATGTGGTTCAACATAGTCTTGTTTGGGCTCCATTAGAATCAAAATTTATAATTTATCAGAGGATTTATGCTTTAAAATAAGAGAGAAAAAAATGTATTTTTGAAATAATATAATCCAAACAAGGGCTTGCAGAGGTCTTGAACTTAGGTCCTGTCGTTGCACCCTTATGTTCAATTCTTAAATAGGACAATCATAACATGGTAGATAGGGGTGTACATAATGTGAGAGGGGTCCCCCTCTCACATTATGTAGGACCCCTCTCACATTATGTACGGGATATATCCTCTTAAATAATGTGAGAGGGGTGGGGCCCACGCTACACATTATGTACACCCGTCTTAAATAACTTGGTTCAACATAGTACGTCTCATACTGTTTGCACTTTGCCATCGAGAAATTTTTGTCTTTTTCGAGTCTTTTAAACTTTATTTAGTAAAATATTTTGTGATTGCTCAAAAAAATGTAAAATGTGGAAATTACTATAAAAGGTTGGGTGGGGAATCAACACTTTTGTTTTCAGTCGAAACATAGGGCAGCATGACAAAGGATAATAAATAATAAATGTGGAGTAGTTGAAGAACGTGTTTATCAATCATATACATTTTCACGAGCAGCAAAGACTTTCACCTCAAAACAAAAAGCTAAAGGTGCTCTAAAAGAATGACACCAGAGAGTTAAAAAAATAAAAAATAAAGTTGACTGACTTTTGAGGTGGATCTTTTTGTTTTTTCTTTTGTTTTTGGTGTAGAGGAATGGAAAGATCATTTGCAAACCAATTTATACCGTTTGTTTGGCCAAACTTATTTGAAAATAATTTTTTTTTTCAAACTCATTCTTAACTACACATTCTCTTATTGAAATAAATGTGTATGTGGACCCACAATTTTTTACTAGTTTAAATTACTCATTCTAAAAAATAATAATTTTTCACTTCAAATTATCTCTCCTAACTCCGAAAAAGACACTTAGTTGACTATTCGTTTATCCGTTCACAGTATTGAACACGATAGAATTATAAAAATTTTATTTATTTTAATTTTATAGCTTAGTGCATTACACATCACCCCAACTAATCAGCAAGTTGTTTTTATCTGATGGTAAATGGTTTCTTTGAAACTTCTAAGAAACGCTAAATTAGAGGATGTCTTGTCCTCTTTTGAAGTTTAGAACAATTTTGAGGATAGTTGAAAAGATGTAGTTAAGACATGTTCATTCGTAGTATTTGATATGATCTGACAGAGTAATGAAAAATTTAACTTATTTTCTTGCTTAGGGAAATTTTTTTTTATATGATGGTAAACCGTAAATGGATTCTCGTAGGTGACATTGTCTGGTTTTCTCAACTTTGTCGATGGCTTATGGTCAAGCTGTGGAGACGAGCGTATCATAATTTTCACCACAAATCACATAGAAAAACTCGATCCAGCATTGTTGCGCCCTGGCCGAATGGATGTGCACATCAATATGTCATATTGCACCCCTTGTGGATTCAAACTTCTGGCAGCTAATTACCTTGGCCTCAAGGATCATTTCTTGTTCCAAGAAATAGAGGATTTGATCAAAATTGTTGAAGTGACACCGGCTGAAGTAGCCGAGCAGCTTCTCAAGAGCGATGACAATGATTCTATTCTTAAAGGTTTGATTGAATTCATTCATTCGAAGAAAAAAGAAAATGAAGAGGCTGAGGCTAAAAGGGCAGAAGCAGAATCATCCGATAAGCAGGAAAATGAACAGAAAGAGGATAGCCAACAAGGAAATTTCGAGGAAGAAAAAGGAATCTTAAGCCAAGAAACTCAAATTTAATAATTGCTGATAATTTTGAAGGTCATTTCTTAGAGAGAAACAAAAACGTTATATCAAGTGCAAGTGGTAAATGCCTGAAACTTTAAAACTATAAAGTTTCAAATTACTTCGTAGATCTTTGTTACTGTTAATTATTTTCGTGTTGTATGTAGGTTGATTGTAATACCCAATTTATGTAACATTCTGACATCTCAATCGCAAATATTTACTTACATTCTTTTGGGCTCATAGGGTTGCCAACAAAAACTCAAACTTCATAACTCACTTGACACTCCTTTCAAGTTGGAGCATATATATATA